GTTCAAACCCACCAGCCACTCCTCGGAAGGAAGATTGGGCAATCTACTTCCGTAGTGATACTGCCTTGGAAACCCAAGGAGGGGTCACTATGAGTCGGGTCCAACTCGATGGCAAAGAACCACCACAACAGCTGTGATTAAAGCATTGGGCTGCTAACCAAAAGGTAGGTAGTTCAAACCCACCAGTTGCTCCATGAGAGAAAGATGAGGCACTCTACTTCCATAAAGATATACAACCTTGGAAACTCTACATGGAAGTTCTACTCTGTCCTATAGAGTCACTATGGGTATCAGAATTGATTCGATGGCAGTGGATTTGGGTTTTTTGAATGTTTACTAGATGAATGAATATGTGCACATGTGTGTACTCCTTTTGACGTAACTCAAAGTCCTATGGGAATTAAACAATTCTAAAGGATAAGGGAGGTAAGTGCCATTGAATCATCCTCATTTGTGATCTAAGATCTCTTCAGAACTTCATTTCTCTTTTCCTTATTTTCCTGCTGGTTTAATAGGAGCATCTTCATGCTAAGGAGGCCTCATGATCCATTTCCTTATTTTAAGAAGAACATGGGTATAATTCCTCTTAAAATAGGCAGGATCCCACCATGTTGTTGTTGTTAGGTGCTGTCGAGCATTACTGACTCATAACGACCCTATGCACAGCAAAATGAAACACCATCCAATCCCACACCAGCTCCATGATCCTTGCCATACTTGAGCCCATCGTCACAGTCACTGTGTCAATTCCTCTCATTGAAGGCCTTCCCCTCTTTTGTCAATCCTCCACCTTACCAAGCATGACATCCTTCTCCAGGGAATGGTTCCTTCTGACAACGTGACCAAATAGGTGAGACGAAATCTGGCTGTTCTCGCTTCAAAGGAGCATTTTGCTTGCACTTCCTGCAGGAAAGATCTCTTAGTTCTTTTAGCAGTCCATGGTACTTTTAGCATTCTTTGCCAGCACCACAACTCAAAAGCATCACATCTTCTTCGGTCAATTACTTTAGTGCAGGTTGGACTTCTTGAATGCCATCAGTTCTTGATCATATGCTACCCAGGGAAATGGTTGAACCATGACCAATTCTTTTTGTAACAGTGACTCTGTGTATTCCTTCCATCTTTTTTTTTTTTTTTTTTTGATGCTTCCTATGTTTTTCAATATTTTGCTCATAAAATTCTTCAACACTGCAACTCATGGCTTGAATTTTTTTTTCAGTTCTTTCAGCTTGAGAAATGCTGAGCATATTCTTCCTTTTTGGTTTTCTAACTTCAAATCTTTGTACACTTCATTATAATTCTTTATTTTGTTTTGTGGAGTTGCCCTTTGATATCTTCTGTTCAGCTCTTTCACTTCATCATTTCTTCTGTTTGCTTCAGCTACTCTGTGTGAAAGAGCAAGTTTCAGAGTCTCTTCTGACATCTGTCTTATCTTTCTTTCCTGTCTTTTTAATGGCCTTTTGCTTTCTTCATGTATGATGTCTTTTATGTTATCCAACAACTCATCTGGTCCTTGGTCAATAATATTCAACATGCCAAATCTATATTTGAGATGGTCTCTAAATTCAGGCTAGGAATGAAATGTTCTGAACCAGTTCTGAAACCCTGGGCTAAAGCAAATGACTGAACCAAAGTCACTTGACCCCTCTGTGCTTTGGTTCCCTCACTTTCAAAACAAGGGGGCTGTACTGAGTGATCTGCAGAGATTCTCTAGCTTTGACACTGTTTGCATCTCTGTATCTTTTCTTCATATATGGCTAATACAAGCAATTGTACAAAAATCCTTAAGGGATAGGCAAAGAATCCTACATATTTGCTTTGAGGAACAGAAAGAATTGATTTTAAACAATTGTAAAAGTCTAGGTTTTTCGGAGGCGGCATTGAATATAAAGTTCCCTGGGTGGAGCAAATGGTTTGCATTTGACTGCTAACCTAAATGTTGGTAGTTCAACCCCACTCAGCAGCACCATGGAAGAAAGGCCTGGTGATCTGCTTCTGTGAAGGTTACAGCCAAGAGAACTGTATGGGCCAGTTCTACTCAAACACACAGGGTCACCATGAGTCAGAACTGACTCAAAGGCAACAGGTTTGGTTTTAGTATTAAATACCAATATCCCACTATACTAGCTGCTGCTTCTGTTTTTATAGATCATCAATTTTCTGAAGCAATATGGACTTATGTTTTCTTTAAAATGTTGTATGACTCATTTGAGGTGACATTTTGATTTTCAGGCATAGGACTTGAATTATCAGGTGGCATAGTTTAGTTCAAAACATTTCATAAGTTTTTCAAGAACTGATATAAAGTTGATGTCAAACCACCAAAGATGATCCAAATAAAGTTGATCTGATATATTCACCTATCTTGGAAATTAATAAATATCACTATGTTTAGGTGGGGAGCTCTGGTAACGTAGTGCCTAAGGCACTTGACTACTAACCAGAGGGCTGGCGGTTCAAACCCACAAGCCACTCCTCGGAAGGAAGGTTGGGCAATCTACTTCTGTAGTGATACTGCCTCAGAAACCCAAGGAGGGGTCGCTATGAATTGGGTCCGACTCGACGGCACATAACGACAACATGTTTGGTTGATAACAAATAACTACCTGAATCAACGTAATTTCAGTTGGGTCCTGGCCCTTGGATCACATGGGCCTTCACCCAATGAAATGATTTGGAATTAACTCAGTGACACCAGAATGAGAAACAATAATTCAGAAATCATAAAATCATACCACAAATCAGAATTATTATCTGTTAAAAAACAAAGTTCTTGAGCTAGGTTTTGGTTATTAAAATATTTTTAAAGACCTAATAAATATACAATCCACACCTGCTTATAATCACAAAGGGAATTTTTAAAATCTAATTTTAATATGAAGAGATCATTTATCCATGCCTTATCCCCAAACAGTAATATTTAATTACTGAAGCAAAAGAATCAGTTATCCATCTGTCAATTGGTGACCAACAATATAACTTTAGTGTTTTCAAGAGTCAGGCCATTTTAATCCTCATTTTAAACAGCTAAACTAAGATTCCTGTTATCAGAAGGAGCAGTCTGCTGCTTGGGTCCACCCACATAGTAAGCACCTGCTTTCTCTGATCTGGAAGCAGATGGTATATCATAAAAGTAAAACCCACGGAAAATGATACAGAAAGGTACTCTCTTTAAAACCCTTTAGGAGATTCATTTTCCTAAAATCTAAACTTCTAAATGCACATGTCTTATATTAATAGCTTAGCTCAGAATTTGGGAACTAATGTACAGACATTAAAAAAAAAAAAGTTTTCTTAGACCGATTCATATGCATGTGTTCACATATTTCCATAGGATAGGAAAACAACCTTGAGCTTATAAGCCTATAGGGCAGGACAGTTCATATTTGAAATTCTAACAAGTACCCTAGGGTGCACTGGTGGTTCATTGGTAGAATCCATGCTTTCCATGTGAGAAACCCAAGTTTAGTTCCCAGCCAATGAACCTCATGTGTGGCTACCAAACAACTGGTAGTGGAAGCTTGCATGTTGCTGATATGATGCTGAACAGATTTCAATGGTGCTTCCAGACTAAGCCAAACTAAGAAGGCCCGCTGATCTACTTCCAGGAATCAGTCAATGAAAACTCTATGGCTCACAATGGCCCATGCCGGATCAAGCAGTGGGGGCCAGCATCTGGCACTAGTAATAAGTATTCTAAGTAGTAACTGCCATCCTAATCCTTCAATACTACCACTAATTAAAACTCTATTGATTCAGTCCCATTATTATAACTCTATGGCACTTACTCAATATATATTTGTAGAACTGGTAGACGAGCTAGGCTTTCGTAAGTTGGCCTCATAATATGCTTTCCATAAAAATCATGTAGGGTAGAGCTTCTGAAGCTTTAGGCATATCAGAATTCCCTGTAGGGCTTGTTAAAACACCAAGTTCTTGTTCTGACCCCTAGAGATTCTGATTTAGTTTGTCTACGCTGGGGCCTGAGAATATTAGTTTCAAATAAGCTCTAGGTGATGCTGATTCTTCCTGTCTGAGACCACACACATGTTGAGAATCACTGATGTAGGGTTTCCCTTTGGGTTGATAATATCATTCATGATTCTTTAGGCCTGCATTGGCTTCTCATTAAATAACCATTTTAGGCTGCACAGATTTGAAATGTGTCATTTACTTACACTCAGATGTTGTAGTTACATACAAAGATGCTTAATAAGCAGATGGACAGATCTGCTGAGGCGAGGATGCTTCACATTGTGAGTCAATTAGGGAGAATCAAGGAATGCATTCTCTTTGATTAACTGATATACAAATTCACATGTAACCAAGAGTTACTATAACATATGACCACCTTGGTGCAAATCCTACAAAAATGTCAGCTGAAACAGACTGATAATTATCTTATCCTTACTAATTTTATTTTAGAATTTAGAATTAGTCCTTAAAGATGCTAGATTCCACTATCTTACACCTACAAGCACACTCTAATTGTTTGAACTGATATGGAAGTTTAACAAAAGATTAGTATGAAGTAATTGAGTGATATTTAATATTGATATTGATATTCAACCCAGTTCTCCTATAATCACAACACTTGGTTAAAAAAAAAGAAACGAAGAAAGAAAGGAAAAACTCTACAGTATGACTCTGTTACGAAACAGTATCCTAACTTTTAAGATTTACTTCAAGTACACTTTGGAATGTAAACATACCTTATTTAACTTTACAAAATATTCCAGTCCAGCTTCCAAGGGATTTGTATCACAGTTCATCTGAAAGGGAAACACACATTTTAAATCTTAAATGAGTACAAATCATTTCAGTGACATCACTTTCATATATTGTTTTGTTGAGGGAAGAGAACACTTTTTTATTTTGTATTACAGATTCTGAAAAAAGAAAATTCTGGGCTGATCTTTACAATAATTTTTTAATTCCAAACTTCCAGTGTAGGCTTGCAACAAAAACTGTCATTTGGATATAAAATGGAAACTAAAATTTAGTTTATTTCCATGGGTCTTTTATTTTCATAAACATCTGAAGGATACCACAACATGATATTCTTTCCAGAAACAAAACTGTCACATGTTTAAATGTAATATATTTACAGAAATAGATTTTTAAAGCTATTAAGTAATGGACTTATTTTACAACTTGCCAAGAATCAAGATAACTGTGGGAAAAAGCAGAAGGTAGGAAAACAGTATCTACAAAGTACAAGAAAGGAAAAAAGAGAGAGATTTAATTTCAATCTTTTTAAACACACAGTTGAGTCATTAAGATACACTTCAAGTCAGAGCTAAAGTCAATATTGGGAAAAGACCTGAAGTAAAGGTGGTTGCTTGTTTAATTTTTGTTGGTATTCTGTTTTGCTCCAATTAAGAATTTAGAGAACTGATCTAAACCCCAGTTAAAATGCTAAATACTCAAACCTTTAAACACAACACAGCACTTACATAAATCAAAAGAGTAATATAATTAATTTTTACATAATATAAATTTTGTCTCATATCTCTTAATCAATATGAGCTATGAGCTACTCTAAAACTATTCTTTTCATGTTTCAAAATTTCCTCAGAAAACAAAAACAAAGCACAGAGGATTGCTGTAAAAACACTAGAGGGCTCTCTGACACCACCGGAAAATTGAAGGGAAGTCAGGACAGATGCTCTCTAGAAGAGGCCAGGAGAGGAGGATGCAAGAAAAATAGAAAACAGAAATGTCTAACCCCCAAGGGACTCCATCTGCTGCCTCAGTCCTTGAGGAGTGTGGGGACAGGCTGTTCTTTATTTAATTTTTTTAATCATAAAAATAAAAGCCATGGAAAAATGTATAGACAGCCCCCATCAGACCCTATTATTGTTGCTGCTTTTCACTGCTCTGGAGTCAGCCACACTTCATGGTGACCTCATGCACAACAGAATGAATGCTGACTTTCTTCCTCATGTGTCTTAGTCTGGAAGTTCTGCTGAAACCTGTTCAGCATCATAACAATTCATAGGCCTCCGCTGACAGGTGGGTGGTGGCTCAAAGAGGTACACTGGCCAGGAATTGAACCCAGGCCTCCTACATGGAAGGCGAATCACCAATGCCCCATGTTTTCTGTTAATATCTTAGCTCAGAATTTGGGAACTGAAGTAAAGGCATTAAAAAAGGTTCATTTTCATCTGTTTACATATTTCTATGGGATGGGAAAACAGCTTCTAACTTATTTGCACCTAAAGCAGGCCTCATCTAAGGTCCAAATCATACACTGAGAATCCATAATACAGCATGTGTCCTATAGGTAAATAGACTTGCCCTCCCTCTTTCACTGGCCCCAGTAGTCTGCCCCCTTCCATAGCCCTCTCACTTGCTTCTGCCTATAGGCTAAATGCCCAAAGGGCCCTGTCAGGGCTTCCCACCCACTTTGCCCTCCCAGGTGCCAATTAAATGTCTTCTATTAGGAGCTCTGGTAGCATAGTGGCTAAAGCACTTGACTGCTAACCAGAAGGCTGGCGGTTCAAACCCACCAGCCACTCCTTGGAAGGAAGGTTGGGCAATCCTACTTCCGTAGTGATACTGCCTCGGAAATCCAAGGAGGGGTCACTATGAGTCGGGGCTGACTCGACGGTACATAACAACAACAACAACAATTATATGCCAGGCACTTTACAGACTATCTCTAATATCTATAGTAACTATGTAGGATGAATATTATTTCCATGTTATAGAAAAGGAAACACAGGTTTTAGAGGATAAGACCACATAGACAGTATGTGGTAGAGGATAAATCTAAATGCAAGAGTATCCACTCTGAGCTACACGTTCTTTCCCACTATCCCTTATGTCACCTCTCAGCCCCAAAACCGCAATGATTTCCAATGATTATGAAAAATAATGAGTCCAGAGCTAGTCTGGTATATTGGAGAGAAAATAGGAAAATAGGGTTTGAACCACAGTTTGGCCACTTACTATGTAACTTGGATTAAGTCGTTCACTGAATCTTAGTGTGAGTGTAAAATAGGGATAATGATAACTATCTTTTTGGGAGAGTTAAGAGGGTAAATGAGACCAGCTATATGAAAGTGTAATAAAGATAGAAACTCTTAGTGACCAATTGTTGTTGTTGTTGTTGTTATGTGCCGTCGAGTCGGCCCTGACTCATAGTGACCCCTCCTTGGGTTTCCGAGGCAGTATCACTACAGAAGTAGGATTGCCCAACCTTCCTTCCAAGAAGTGGCTGGTGGGTTTGAACCGCCAGCCTTCTGGTTAGCAGTCAAGTGCCTTAGGCACTATACTACCAGAGCTCCTTAGTGACCAATAGTAATCATTAATAATGGAAGAAGGCTAGACCAACACATCCTGGGCCACGACGTCTGCCCTAAGAAAGACACCTTAGTTTTTAATTCTCCAAAAAGTGCAAGATACAATGAAAATGAGGTAGCTACATGACAGAGGTGGAGAAAAGAATTTGAAAGGTGGTCCTCAGTCTTGTGTGGGGCAGGCAGCTCCTTGCTCTAAGCACACAGAAACAGCTGTTCAGTGCTCTTTGCCAAGTGGGAGGATTTAAGGCAGAATAAACACTATGTCAGAATTCCATTGAACTTTCAACTGGGAAAACAAGGAGAAAAACCACTTCCCTCAAATAAATAAAAAACCCAAGGAGGGTCACTATGAATCGGATCCGACTCAATGGCACATAGCAACACAACAATAATATATAATTTTTCCTACAGCCAGAGCCAACATTAATGCAGTTAAAAGTAGCCCTTAAATAAAAACCACATATAATAGCTATAAAATTTTGATTAAGATCCTAGAATTTCAAACCTCTGACCCCCAGGCTCTGAAAGCTTTCTCCAGTCTTAAAGCATTCATGGCATAGGTTCCAAAATTGTCAATTCCTTCCTCCTGGCCAGCATCCATGATAACGTCATAAAGAGCAGCAGAATCTTCTCTCCTGTGGTATAGCTCCCAGCCCAGCTCACCTGGAATAAACCCAGAGGTGCCACACCAGAGTAAGAACAATGATCACTAGGTCTAAAATGTATTAGCTAAAATATATAAAAGAAGGAGAGATTCCACTTATGTAACAAAGACATTGACAGTTTTTGAAACACTAGTTCATAAAAAGATGCAACAAAATCCCACTGCAAAGTAGCCTGTACTAGCACAGATACGTGTATTTGTGCCCAGTCTTGACACACAAAGACCGCACTGCAGGAGTTAATTGCCCTTAAGCCAGCTTCATAATGAAGCTTGACTATTTTCAGGGATAACCATGTTGGGTTCATAATTAGAATGGGCACAGTTTATCAAGGTAATGGGATAATCAGTTCAAGTTTTAGATACCCTAATCCCCACTCCCTTGTCCAAAAATAACAAGGTTTGAAAATATAGTCAACTGACAATTAATTATTCAAGGACCTCTGGGGGCCAAGTGGTTAAAGCATTTGCCTAAGTGAAAGGTCATAGGTTCCCAGCTCTGAGGGAGAAAGATGAGGCAGTCTACTTCTATAAAGGTTTACAGCCTTGGAAACCCAAGGGGGCAGGTCTACTCTATTCTATAGGGTCTCTATGAGTCACAGTCGACTTGATGGCAGTCTTTTTGTTTGTTTGTTTGTTTTTGTTTTGATTTGCAGAAAGACATTCTAAGTAACACATCATTTTTTTTTTTTTTTTGGACAATTAACTCTGTATGATCTTCATTGTGGGGTAGCCATAATCTGTGAGTTCTTCCATTTCCCTACCTGCTAGTCATTTCATTCACTGTAAGCATGTTGGGCACAAATCAAAGGAAATGAACCCCAAACAGTCTTGCTTATTTTTTGTTCAGAACACATTTTGCTGGGATTGGGTAGGGAAAAGGAAGGAAGAATTGTAGAATGATAGCCCAGGGAAGAGCTATGGCATTTAATACTAAGAGTTCTGTTGGCTTCCCAACACTGAGGGCCTGATGGTAAAATGCTTTTCCAGGACACAGTCAGAACATGGGCAACATGTAATTGTTGAACAGATGCTTAGGCACCAAGTACTCTTTCTATAAAGGAGCAAGGAAGTCTAGAAGAGATTAGAAGTGAGCCCCAGAGCACCAATGGGGAACTTAAGAGCATTAATTCATCTCTGTATCAAATACCTACTATATGTCAGGTTAGGCAATATAAGAAGACTTCCCTAATGAACTTACAGTTTTGAAGAGAAGATGGTTAGTGGTAATGACCAAGAAAGGTCCTCATACAGTGCTATGGGAGGCCATTTTGAAAGTTCCCAGGTTCAAACCCACCAGCCACTCCTCAGAAGGAAGGTTGGGCAATCTACCTCCCTAGTCATCCTGCCTCGGAAACCCAAGGAGGGGTCGCTATGAGTCAGGTCTGACTCCATGGCACATAACATCAACAGGTGGAATCTGCTGACATGAATATTCTGTCAGCCTTCAAACTATTCCAACAGTCTGTATTTTCCTACTTTCTTATCTACCCTTTCAAATAATAAGCAAATATGGAAACGGACCAACATCTGGAAATTTGTGGAATAACTCGTACAGATTCGGAGTGAATAGACAATATTGCCCTAAGAGCTGGGTAGAAGAAATCTTTCTCCAAAGTACACTGATAAAAGTGAATACATGTGTGTATGTATGTATTTCTGGCATCTTCCTTCAGATTTTAGAGACTTACTCGAGGTTGTTGTTCTGACTCATAGCAACCCTATACACAACAAAACAAAACACTGCCTGGTCCTGTGCCATCCTCACAATCATTTCTATGTTTGAGCCCATTGTTGCAGCCACTGTGTCAATCCACTTACCAGTATAAGATATCCTAATAGCAGTAACAGGAATGTTGGAAATCTTTAACGACTTGGTTTGAAGAAACTTGAAAACATCATCCCTAAGATCTTCAGAGGTGAGTTTCTGAAGAACCTTTCTTGCCTGTGGTCCTGCAACTCCAATGACTCCAAGTTCATCAGTTATGTTTCTAATTTCAACATCATATCCACCTTTCACTGACTCTTCTTCAATCCATCTGCATTAGAGTCATAAACACTGTGTTAAATTCAGGGCTTTGAAATTCATTGAAGGTTTGACTCCCTGCTGAGAATTTGCATTTCTGGTAGTCTACTTCCGTAGTGATACTACCTCGGAAACCCAAGGAGGGGTCGCTATGAGTTGGGTCTGACTCGATGGCAAACAACAACAACCCCAGATAAACTGAATCGGAATCTATAGTCTAACAAGATTCCTAGGTAAGTCTTATGTATTCCTTGTTAAAATGTAGCTCTTATGAAAATGTAGATTCTGATTCAGTATGTCTGGGGTGGAAATGAAAGTTCTTAGGAGGGGGTCCAACCAGACCAAACCGGTTCAAAGCCCTGGTTAAGCCTTGTTTGAAAAATGCATTGTGGTAACATTATCTCACTGAAGATTTGCTCTATGTCTAGAATTACAGAAAAGTCCCCAGAACGTCATTTTCTATAACCACCTAAATTTTAAAGTTAAAGGAAACTGAGTCTGACATGTTAAGTGATTTCCTTTAAAACACTGACTTATAAATAGAGGAGCAATTTTTCATAGTACAGAGGATCCTTCAATTTAAATGAATTTTGCCTCACAATTCTTTTAAATAGTGACATCCCTTCACATTTAAACTAAGTGATTCAATCTTCAAAAACTAATTTAAACCCAAATTTTCTGTAACACCTGTACACAGGAGGCATGCTTGCACTAATGAAGGTTAATAATGCACCTGCCACCAGACACAATTGCTTACTAAGGAGAAAGAAGGTGGGCATCTGAATCAAAAAGACTAGACTAAGCATATTACTTCAACCTCAGTTTCCTTAACTGAAAATGGGAATAATATTAATAATATTGCACAATATTAAGAAAATTAATTGATATAATGTGTAAAAGGGGTTGTGCCACATTGATGATGCTTAATAAATGGGAGTTTAATATTGGTAGAGCCAGTAAACTCTATGGGTGGATTACTTAGGGGGGTGGGAGGGAAGAAGAACACTTCTTTCAAATGTTTTCTTATAAAAAACATGAAGTTTATTTGAAAAGGTAAGATTTAAGAAGTAAAGTTCTACTTCTAAGAACTGATAAAAGAAAAACTCCATGTAAGACTGAGTCAATATATAATACATACAAAATTTTATTATTAGATGAGTACTTACCTAAGATCATGAAGTTCTGATCCAGAACCAGTTATTAATAGAAACTCCCCAGGGGACTGGTGAGAAATAGTCAGCTCAGCATACACTCGACCTTTTGGTGTTAACATGTGACTTACATTTGTAAAACCCACCTACACAAATAGATTTAAAATTATCTCAGGATGAAACAAATATCTTACAGGTCCTTTTAATACAACATGGAAATAAAAATGAAAAGCATCTAAATCTTATCATTGCTATCAATTGTATTAATTACTTGTAACTCTACTAAACCTAAACTCAAGACTAATTCTGAAGTTCTTACTTTAAATGATTACTTCATTGTAGACAGTTTTAAGTTTCCATTGACATAGTTAAGCAAAGTTATAAGGTCCTTGGATGATAATTTACTCAACAAAAAATTAAAGTTAAAAATTAGCTATTTTCTTCATTAAAGAGAAATTTTAATGTTCATACAGAAATCATTAAGAGGACTAAAATACTGATTTTTCCTTTTAAGTGAGAGGACAAAGAATTAAATAGGCCACAATCCTGGACCTTGTGTCCCAACAAGGCTATTTACCTTTGGAATGACATTTGCAAAGAGGTAGTCCAACAGTTTAACTGAGTCCTGGCCTTTAATGTTAAACTTGCCGAAGGGTGACAGGTCAATCACCCCTACTCTTTGCATAACCTGTTTATACTCAGAACCCACAGGCTCAAACCAGTTTGTGCGGCGAAAACTTGGCCTGAAACACAACGGTTAATGTTATAAAACAACCGCTATTCCAGAAAATTACAGAATCAAAAATGTTTAAATATTGCTGTTCATCTAGAAAATCCTATTTGAAAAAACAACATGCAACCTAAAATTCTGTTTTGCACTTAGCCTTTTAATTAACTCATCTATCCCTTTGACCTATGTCATGTGAATAAAGTATTAACTAACCAGAAAATAAGATAGAAAACATGGACTCCCAGATCTGGAAAGGAACTTAAAAGTTATCCAGCCTAGTGGTTTTCAACCCTGGTAACATACTAGAATTACTGAGGGAGTATTTTTTAAACATACCAATGGTTGGGCCTGTAGCTGTTGCTATTGAGTAGACTCCAACTAACAGTGACCATATGTAGGACAAGGTAGAACTGCCCCATAGGTTTTACAAGGCTGTAATCTTTACAGAACCAGACTGCCACATCTTTTTCCAACTGTAGACTAATTAAATCAGAATAGCTGAGGAGTGGAGCTTCTCAGGTGATATTAGTATGCTGCCAGGATTGTGAACCACTTACCTAGCTCAGCGGTTCTCAAGTTTTAATGCCCATGTAAGTCATTTTCACTTATAAGATGCAGGTTCTGATTCAGTAGATCTCAGGTAGGGGCTGCTAGTCTGCCTTCTAACAGGCTCCCTGGTGATGCCAAAGCTGTTGGTCCACACCTTGAATAAGCAAGGATCTGGCCCAACATCTTCATTTTTCGAGAAATGACATAAAGTGACTTGCTCAAACCTTTGCATTAATTAATAATAGAGGTGGACCTGGAACAAAGGTCTTTTCTGCCTTCTAAACTGGCCTTCTAATGTGGTATTTTAACTTGAGAGAAAGATACTAAGTCTGTAAAATGAGTTTTCTATAGTTTAATCATTAAATCTGTAGAAGAAACTTAGGCTAGATCTACATAGCACAAGGTGAAAAATAGATCCGTAATTTATGTGAGTCATTTAGAAAAAACAAGCCAATATTTTTCCACCAAACAATTTAGATTGACTGCCTATACAGCCTAAATTCATTTACCAATACCTGGCCTTCTACTATTCTTAGAATCATTTAGATCTAGTCTTAAGTAGATATCAAAACCTAATTAAATAACCAGAATGACATTTCAAAAATGGTAACTTAATTTCTAGATTTGCTATTTTTTTCTCTTGGTTTATGGATTCCCATGAGGAAAAAAATATATGATCACTCTCAATGCCAAGTACAACAACAGCATGTAGCAGTTCAGAGGAATTTAGAGAATTATTTAGTGGGATGTTTTATGCTTTTGCTTAACCTGAAATACTGAGTAAATGGTCTTTCCCCTAATTTATCAAATGTGCATATAATTAGTATTACTCAGTGCATACTAACTGGAAAGCAGTTACTCTGAGCTATTCCATGATAAACAGAAAACTGGAAAAATCCAGGCATTTTTCATTTGGTGGTTGTATACTGTGTGATTCAACCAAGCACAGAAAACCATGGTGAAACTCTAGAAGCCACATGGGGTGTTGGATGGGGTGAGGAGGGTTTCTCTGAGCTTCTGGTAAATGCCACACTGAAGAGGATTCACTAGGGCTGGCTCTAGGACTCATGGGTCATGTAGGAACACTGGATGTGGAGGAATGTCCTGGGTGACAGCCAATGTCACGTGGACTAGACTAACGTCTCCACTGTCAGAAAATAATTTTTGTACCAAAGGCTCAATGCTCCTTGTAATGGGGTGGAAGGAGGAAGAAGCATGAGAAATTCCACTTCTCTAATTTCCCTTTGGGAGCTCTGGTGGCATAGTGCCTAAGGCATTTGACTGCTAACCAGAGGCTGGCAGTTCAAACCTATCAGCCACTCCTTGGAAGGAAGACTGGCCAATCTACTTCCATAGTGATGCTGTCTTGGAAACCCAAGGAGGAGTAGCTATGAGTTGGATCTGACTCAACAGCAGTGAGTTTGGTTTTTGTTTTTGGATTTCCCTTCACTCCACTTTGGTCGCTTTACTCTGTAATCAGAACCACACACCAAGTTAAGTCCTTCACTTACTTATATTGAGTGTCTTGCCCTGGTTTGTAGAACCAGTGTGGCTGCTCCCAGCCTGCATGGAACCCCATGGAACACTTAGACTTCAGGATATTGTAGAGCCCACTGATACGCTCAGTTGGCCTCCCGGCAAACCGTTCTTCTTTAGGATAACCAACTGAAAACGGATAATCGGCATTCTCAATAAAAACACTTTGGAAGGGTTCAGAAAGTGAAAAATATAGTATTTAAATTCCAGAAGGATAGTTACAGGCAGTAAATTTATGTAAAAGACAAAGCTGTCATTTAACTGAAGACAAAGCAAAAATATATTAAAAATTTTAAATTAGTGATGAACTCCACATTAAATATATACATTCATATATAGTCCTTGTTGTGTCTCAGAGCTACAATGCCTCTTAAAATCCCTAACAACACCTCCCCCAGTGAACAGAATAAAGAGCATCTAAAATCAGACATACTGCAAATCGATTCTGTAAACACTTTCAGATAATGGTAAATTTGCTTTTTACCAATATTGTTGAATCCATATGACTCTCTGGCTTTTGCCTTAGTGTACTGAGTTGTTGTCCATTTTCCATAGCGATTGGGATCCAATTCTATCAGATCAAAAGAAGGTTCTCCATGCAGAATCCAGTCACTGAGATATTTCCCTACCCCACCAGCATGGATGATGCCATATCTTTCAAATACAAAGATAAATATTCTGTTACAAACACATGTTATTTTCAAATAATGACATATGTCCAAATATTTTGCAGGGCCTTAAAGAGTGTTCTATGTTATTCAGAACACACAATTGACATGCTCTTTTATGGTATACTTTTTTTTTTCCTCAAAAACTACATTTTAGTCATCCAAATTAAACTTGCCCAACTTCATAGATAGTTTGTTGTGATAGTTTCAAGAGATGCATAACTTCACAAAAGCCTATGAATTTTAGCCAGTGAGGACACTCGCTTCAGCAAAACAGGGAGGGAAAAGTCGAAAACAGGCAGGTGTGGTTGATACCTTATCAACCCTTTTGGGGTATGATTGTCCTGACTGATAGGAAACTTAGTGGAAGAAATATGTGCACTGTAAAATAGAAAGTCTATCTTTTCTCAGACTCATTTAGCTCTAACCTCCTTCAGTGATGACCTCTATGCAAAGATCTTGGGTCAGTATCTTACACACATTCAGACAAAGAGCCCCTCCCCCAGGGACCCATGGAAAAGAACACTGGCCCATATATTTTGTAACTCATGGGTCACTTGGTGGGAAGGTGGGCTTGTTTTGGTGAGCTTCAGAACCAAGTACATGACTTCCCCTTGATATCAGAAAGAAGGGATCACAATTTTACTTTGGCCTTACATAGTCCTATCTACTAACTCTTGTCTAATGAATATGGCCTTAAGTCAAGAGAAGCTTCTGAGGAGTTGAGTGAGCAGGGAATCTTGGGGGAAGAACCATGAAAAGGGGCTAGCCACATGAATGGACACCAAGATACCAAAAAATAATAATAATAAAAAAAATACCATACCCCAAACCATAGCAACTTAACAGTCAGGATCCTAGCTTCTAAAAGGTTGGGAGAACCTTAAGACTGGAAGTGTTAACTAATTTTTCCCACAGCAACATACCAGTTTTGCTATGTTACAAAAATGAAGACCTAGATTTGCTATAAGCATAATTCTGAAGAAGGAAAAATGGTATCGATTTATACTTCTCTGGGTAGTTTAAAAAAGAAACATGGATCATCCAAATTATTCACAATCTCTCTGAATTTCAAAAAGGCAATAAAAATTAAGTACATGCTTGATCATGTTTATTAAGAGCAGCACATTCATTTAACCAGGTCCATCATATGCTACAAAAGTTATCATTATTGAAGATTATAAATACTATGTACAATATTTGAAGCTGTATAAAGTTTTACTGACACTTATTGAGTGCTTATCACTTACAAGACATTGTTTCTACACACCTATCATGTACTAAATAATTTATTTTTAACAACCTAATTTCACCAATGAGAAAATTAACCTCATTTTACAAATAAGAAAACCCAGGTTAAAAAAAGTAATAGAAACCAACAGCAGATTCAAGATACAAATCCAGTTACCTGATGCCAGAGTGTATATTCCTTATTATTGGAAGTTATATATCATCAATGGTTCTTAACCTGTTTGCAGCTAAGACACACATGACAGATACTGCCTGCTTCCATAACAGACTCCCTGGTTATAGCCAAGGCAGTAATTCAATTTCCTGTGGTCTAGCTGTTACACCTCTGTATCCTTTCCTTTTTAACATGAATATGAGCAAGCACATAGGGGCAGAATGTTGTTATTTGAGAATAATCCTGAATGAAATTTAATTTATTTTTCAAAATTAAATCTTTTACAAATTTCAGCTCTCTGACCACTAACAAACTACATGTAAAATGCCATACAACTAAGAGTTAATGACACATCTATTGAGAACCCATGACTTAGTAGTTAAAAGCATAAAAGCATAAGAGAGACCTTAGTATTATTCTGGTTCTGCCACTATTAGCTGTATGACTTTGAGCAAATTTTGTAATCTCTGTTAGATTTAGTCTCCTCATCTGTATACTTTCTTTATGGTGTTGGTGGAGAATTAATAGATATCACACTCATAAAACACTCAGTACATTTCCCAGCAAAAAAAAAAAAAAAAACAACTCACTGCCATCGAGTCGATTCTGACTCATAGAAACCCCCATTGGGTTCCTGGATGGTGAATCTTTATGGAAGTAGATTGCCCCATCTTGCTTCCACAGCGTGGCTGGTGGGTTTGAATCACCAACCTTCTGGTTACCACTCATATGCCTTAGACACTGTGCCACCAGAGCTCCAGCACATAGTAGGTGAGAAACACAGGGTAGTTATTGGATCCTTGTATAATCAACATCAGTGTATGCCTATGAGTGATTTATACATAGGATTTTAATAAGGAGGTAATATATGAGGAGAGCAGAGCTGGGTTCCTCTTCTGTCTCTAGCATTCATTTGCAGAACCAGATTTTTCTAAATGGCCACAGGCTGCTATACTCTTTGACTGTTTGTGTCTCTTTTTAGGGTTACTCTGCTAAAGTGTCAGATGTTACATTTTATAGCACTTTATTCTCTTTAAATTTGAGGTTTATAATCTGTTCTAAATCAAGAAAACCAGATACAATTCATTATAGTTGAGACACTTTATAAAATACTTATTACATACTGGACACTGAGAAGCAGAAAATCAAACCTGTTAGAACTGTAAGCCCCCCCCAAAAAAAATGTAGAACTCTTTTGGCATAGGGTATCCGTAAGGTACATGAGCACTGGCAATTTGCAAATGCCTATTTAATGGAATGACTGTACCACAATCAGAAACAATATTGAAGAAGTACAGATTCCTGGGCCACTCTCCACACTACTGAATCAGAATCCCTTGGAGTGGTGTCTGGAAATCTGTTTGTTTGTTTTCAACAATCAGCAGATCTTTTGTAGGTTCTAGTGGTGGAAATCTACCAATTGTTGTCTGTCAATTTGTCACACTGTGGTGTTTGCATGTAGCTGTGATGCTGGAAGCTATACTGATGGTATTTCAAGTACCAGCAGGGTCACCCATGGTGGACAGGTTTCAGTGGAGCTTTCAGGCTAAGACAGCCTCAGAAGAAGGACCTGGAAATCTATTACTAAAAAAAATTGGCCAGTGAAAACCTTATGTATAGCAGAGGAACACTGATACAGTGCCAGAAGATGAGACCCTTAGGTTGGAAGTCACTCAAGACAGAGCTGTGAAAGAGCTGCCTCCTCAAAGTAAAGTCAATCTTAATGATGTGGACGGAGTAAAGTTTTCAGGACTTTCATTTGCTGATGTGGCATGACTCAAAAACAGAAGAAACAGCTGCTAATAGCCATTAATGCTAGGAATTGGGGAGTATAAAAAGTATGAATCTAGGAAAACTGGAAGTCATAAAAAATGAAACGAAACACATAAAGATTGATATTGTAGGCATTAGTGGACTGGTATTGGCCATTTTGAATAAGACTGGTACTGGCCATTTTGAATAAGATAATCATATAGTCTACTATGCTGGGAATGACAAAATGGAAGAGGAATGGTATCACATTCATCGTCCAGAATATTTCAAGATTTATCCTGAAGTAACTGCTGTCAATGATAGTATAATATGTATATGAACACAAGGAAGACCTGTTAATATGGTTATTATTCAAATATATGCACCAATCACTAATGCCAAAGCTGAAGAAATTGAAGATTTTTGCCAACTTCTGCAGTCTGAAATTGATCAGACATACAATCAAGATGTATTGATAATATTATTGGTGATTGGAATGTGAAAGTTGGGAGCAAAGAAGGATCGATAGGTAGAAAATAAGGCCTTGGTGATAGAAACAATGCCAGAGATCTCATGAAAGAATTTTGCAAGCTGAATGACTTATTGCAAATACTTTTTTTCAGCAATATAAATGGCTACTATACTTGTGGACTTTGCAAGACAGAATACACAGGAAACAAATTGACTACATCTGTGGAAAGAGAAGTGGGGAAGCTAATACATCAGTCAAAACAAGATCAGGATTTGACTATGGAACACACCATCAATTGCTCATATGCCAGTTCTAGGTGAAGCTGAAGAAAATGAAATCAAGTCCATGACAGCCAAAATATGACCTTGATTATATCTCACCTGAATTTAGAGACCATCTTAACAATAGATTTGACTCATTGAATACCAACAAGTTGTAGGATTACATCAAGGACATCATACATGAAGGAGCAAAAGGTCATTAAAAATACAGGAAAGAAAGAAAAGACCAAAATGCATGTCAGAAGAGACTCTGAAACTTGCTCTTGAGTATAGAGTAGCTAAAGTGAATGGACAAAATGATGAAATAAAAAAGCTGAACAGGAGATCTCAAAGATAGCTCAAGATGACACAGTAGAAGACATAAAATGTGCAATAAGGTAGAATCAGAAAACCAAAAGGGAAGAACACTCTAGGTATTTCTCAAGTTGAAGAAAAATTTCAAGCCTTGAGCTACAATACTGAAAGATTCCATGGGCAAAATCACATGGGTAGAAATAAAACATAGATGAGATGTAGACGATGAAAAGCGTTCAAGTGACTAACATGTGGATGGGATTCTGTTTATTAATACTTAGATAATTCTGCTATTCAGCCAGGTATGGTAAACACTGGTATCCAGAACCAAGGAATGGGTACAGTGATAAAAGACAAGGATGATATTCCTAAAAGGAATGTGGGTATTATAACATATTGCTTAAGAAATATTTTAGAAACCTCAACAACTAAATAATAGAGAAGTCTTTTTGTCTCAGACCAAATCTGTTAAAAAGGGTGAGGCACTTCTCCCCCCATATTTTCCCTATTTTTCCCTGTCCTCTTCCACTCAGCTCCCAGTGCCTTAGAATCTCAAACAATTACCCAGAGCATTCAGTTCAAGAGTCTAACACCAGCCCAATGCAAGTATTTATCGTACCTAAGTAATATGTAGCCAGTGTTCTAAAGGAAGTAACTTCTTAACTTAGCAATCAGTTGATAGTGTTTCATTAAAGTATAATTAAGCCAGAGACATTGTCAGTTTATTCACAATTCAGAGCATGTCAGTAATCTGCAAATAAATGTTGACTGAATTAATAAAT